CATATACACACGCTCGCTGGCTTTGGGGTGGGTGGGGGGGTAATGTAGGGCTGTGGGGAGAGATAGCGCGTGCCAGAAGAGGCAGAAGGGAAATTTCTCTGAGTCCATTCTTCTTTTGCCGGCTCCCGTCCTGCGACTCAGGGCTTTGTCTGTCCCAGCAGCTGAAGCAGAAGTGCCTCTGGACGTGGGAGCACTGGATTACCGCTGCAGATTTTTTATTTTTTTTTTCCCCAGCACAACTTTCCCCCAGTTAGCCATAGGGACTGCAGGCTGACCATCTGCCCGTTTCTGACAGGATCTGTTTCTGATTTGAGTCGAATAATTCTGCTGCCAGTGAGTGAAGAACTTTCCACGAGGACCAGCCATGTGTGGGTGAGAAAGCGCTTCATTTCTGTGTGCTAAACTTTAGCTTACATAATGAAGGACAAACCATGGACAGGTTGTGAGTGTACCAGAACTTAACCTCTTCCCTTACTGGAGGGAAACACACGGACACGTGAGGAACCTACCTAAATTCTTGGCTCGCCGTGCGAGGTTTGACCCTTGACTTTTATCTCTTTGTGCTGCTGGTAAAAAGACAAGTGCATCCAGAGAGGGTCTCTTAAGCAAACAGAGACCCCCCTCCCAAAGGTGAGAGGGGGGGGAAGATGGCAGCTCTTGCCAGTTCTCTCATCAGACAAAAACGGGCAGTCAAGGATGACCAAGCCAACCGGCCAATAGCCAACAAACGCAAGCCGTGCCCCAAGAGCAACAAGTCTCTTTGCCAGAAACAAATTCTTGTTCTCATATCAAAAGTACGATTATGTGGCAGCCGCAGAGGAAGAACAGACAAAAGACCAGGTAGGTTCATTTATAACTTTTCTATTTTAACCACTTTTAACTGGTTATCCACCAACTAAGGAAAAACTGTATTCTTGCAAAAAAGCAGAATGAAAAAAGTTTGAGCTAAATTTTCAAACTGATGTAATTCTTCTTGGCTTCTCTGTTGACACTTCACAGTCAAACTGGCTGTGGTACAAATGTAAGGATACAAAGCTGAAATACAGTCTGGTCTGAAATATAGTTTTCTCTGTGAAGCAATGCTCCATAGGCCACATAAAGGAGAGATGCACTAAGCTCATTAAGTTGCAGTGTTAAGGGATTTATTCAGACTTTTATAAGGGTGGAAAGGGTTTGACTGCTATTTTATGACATGAACAGAGCCGGAAGAGGCAAACAATAAGGTGTGATTTACAGTCTTTCAAAGCGTCCCACATGCATAGGCTATTCTGGGTTGCGTTAAGACCTGCCCTTAGGATGCTAATTACTACCCCGAGACACATCATCTCTTCTATGTTCACACATGGGCAAGCATGTCTGCATATTAATTCTTGATTTCGACTGTGTTTCATAAAAGATTGTTACTCAGTGGTGCCATGAAATTGGAAGTTGGAGTCCGGCCATGTTTTAGTTCCGGTAACCTTGCCACTGGCCAAACAGAAAAAAAAAAACAGCACGCTCTCTGATTACAGCACTGACACTGAGACAGAAGCTCTGCGATTGTTATGCCAACCTACAGGGCAAAAATGCAAAACACCAGTGTCCACAACTCTGACTAGCAGTTTTATTGAAACAAAAACATCTCTGTTTGGTGTCGCTGCCATTGGTTGTGAGTTTTGTAATATCTTGGGGACCAAACGCTTATGACATTGTGCAATTGACGCCATAGCCTAAGATTGAATAACTGCATACTGAATAAAAGAACTGTCAATGTAAAGCAAAACGAGTGAAAGACGGGATAAAGAGATAAGGCAGTGAGTGAGTGTTTGAGAGTGAAAGAGAGAGAGTGGGTGTTTTGTACGTAAATGAAAATGATTATAGTCAGGGATATTAATCTGCCTCTTTATCCGCCTCTCTCACCAATGAACATGAAACGAGCCACACTGCAATCATCAGAAAAAATATGGGTATAAACAGAAATGAATGTGAAAGGGAGAGTGCGTGCATGGATTTTTATGATACTGAGGTAACGCTGACAGCCTGTCCTGCTCCTAGGACAATATTCTGTAATATTTACATTCCTTTAATATCAACTGAACACATTATCACATTACGCACCAGTACCGTTAGTATAATGTGATTTAGAAACATACTGAAATGCAAATATATTTCTGCACATGCAAACACACAAAAACTGGCTCAGGAAACGACATAATATTGCATTGCTAGCATAGGTGATCTTTTTCTGATATTTTCTTACATCTATTCCTGCTGCATTGACTTGAATCCTCAAGCTCGTCTAGACAAGTTTATTCTAGTTGCTGATTTAGTGCTTATCTACCAGGGGTCAAGGTTTGGATGGTTAATATGGACTGTTAGCCCTTGCTAGTACTTTCCAGCAGGGAAGTCCTTTTGAATACCTCAATCTGTGACATGCGAGTTGAGCTTCAAAATTCAATCCATAGCACTATGGGTGAACTGAAGCGGCCAAAAATTGTCAAATTAGTGGGCGTCACCTAGCCACAGCAGTGTGGGACCATGGGATCACTGCTACATTGTCAGGTCAGTGATCCATATACATCCATCATAACAATGTCAAGCCCCTGCTGCACCCGCAACACCCTTCACACATCTGTCTCACGCACACCTGTCTCTGGTTTAGGATGGGTTCCCTTGCTGCTCTAAGATGGCGTCGTGGTCTCACACCCTCTGAGGTCGGCGCTGAGTCTACTGGTCTCTCGATCGATGCAGCTCATTAACGTATACTGATTAATCAATGATCACCCTCTCCGTTTGCCCAGTGCCCAATTTCACACAAGGAGGAGATGGTATAGAAGGACTGAGCGGGAGAGAACCGATTATTATCAGCAAAGGAGCGAGAAAACCCCTCACACAGGCTACTCTCAAATTTTCCTTTACAATATACAACAGCTTACAGGAGTGGATTGAATACTGTCTATATGAATGAATAATCAATGTCAAGCCAATAGCTGGAAGAAACACTTGAAATCAGTGTCTAAAGTAAATATTAAAGATAGCATCTTCCCTAACTCTAGAAACTCTTACCACAGTTATCATGACACTATATAATAAATGAATGCAACTATGGCACATGTTCACCTGTCAAATCCTAATTATCTGACTTTGGCTTTGAATGTTTTATTTTTAACAAGATAACAGTGGAAAACAGCATCTGGAGATGAACCTTCATATGACATACCATTATTATCTCCAGAGCCCCACATGACCACTGTCATTAATAAACAAACTGTGTGAAACCATATTTAATCACACTAAAACTGACAGATAAATAACCATGCACATTTATGCTGCTGGATAAACGTAGCCTTAAGAGTTCTAGTGCACTCTGTTAGGGAGGGAAATTAACAACTGTCACCAGCCAAGTGTGATTTTTTTTTTTTCACAGTTGTGGGTGAACCAGCTCTGTGGTGGGAAACATTTAAGATGGCTCAGACTGGCCTTGGGGAAAAAAAAAACTGTCACTACGTAGTATACTTGTTTATGTGTGCATTTTGATTAGATCTTAGACCAGCTCAGGAAATGTTCAGGGTGCAATCGGCTTATAATGTAGGTTTTCTTTTGAAGAGTCCACTAATACGAGATTACAGCTTGCAACATTTAGTGATTTCTGCTAAACACAGAGAGCCTTGTTTGAACCTGGGGGAGAAAAAAAAGAAATGAATGGTGAACATACCGTTGTAGCTAAAAGAAAAGTTAATTTCCCGTCCTGCATACAACCTTCAAAATGCAAATGAAATGAATAAGAAGAAAAAGAGATAGGAGGTCTGCAGATGTGTAGCAAGGATGTGTAGTTCGGACTAAAGGAGTCGTTCAGGGCACGAGGACGTGGCACTGGAGGAGGACAGCATTAAGCTGACCGCTGAAGATGGGCTGTCTATCTCGCTTACTCAACAACACATGATCACTCTGCACAGTGTTAGGTAGCCTCTCATCTGAGTACTGAGAGTGCCAGGGGTCAGAAAGAAAGAGTGAGTGAAAGAGAGAGAGGGGAAGAGATAGCAATACAGAGAGGAAGGAAGTAAAGGAGAGATGGAAGAGGAAGGAAAGGAGAAAATGGAGGAGAGACAGGTGGAAAGACAAAAAGCGAGTCACTGCAAAAGACAGAAGGACATGCAGAGGGAATTCAGAGGAAGAGAGAAAATCACTGATGATTAAGCAAGTTCTGGCAGAGAGTATGTTAAATTAAAATTGGCAGCCCTTACTTTCACTGCATGAAGTTTTTGTTTGTTTTCTTATGTTAAAATATGAGAAAACACTGTCTATTATTTTAAAAGAACACTCAGCATTCAAGTTCTTATGCTATGCTCAAGTTCTATAAACATGTTATTCATTACCGAATAAAACGATTTTTAATTCCTCAGTTTGTAAGAACAAATCTTGTGTCTACAGTCAATGGGGCAAGACACTGCACAGGGATAAACACTACAAAATGTTTGAAAATACAGCCGCAAGACTTGTACATTGCATAATAAAACTGCATACTAACATTTTCTCTCTAAACTAGCTTATATCAAATTCAACTCAATCAATTCAACTCAATATCAATTCAACTGGCATGACCATATAAAGAGTAAACCTAGTAATTTTTTTGGCACAATACCTGCAACATTACTTTAAAAAAGAAGTTTAACTTAAAAATAAATAAATAAATAAAAATACACCCAGCGGTATTTCATCAGCAATGCATAGCTACAAGCAAGAACAGCAAAGGACAGTAGATCAACAGCTAAATGTACGATTTAATTTTGAATTTTTAACTTTTTAAATATTTATCTACACGTTTGTAACACATTTTTATACAGAAAAAAGAGCCCTGTAACAGAAAAAAAAACACCTAACATAAAACTTTGGACTTGTTTGCTTTTATATCTTCTGGAATATCTTGCATCATAGTCTTTTATGTTTTCTTCATAATATATTAACATAATTAAAGGTTTAATTTTATTCTGTGTAAGATAGATAGATAGATAGATAGATAGAAACGGAATTTTGTTTGTTCTCTCTCTGAGCTCACAACACAGCACTTTCTCAAGTAATTAATGAATTAAGATGTAGTTCATTAATGATTTTATTAGTCAACAATTGAACCAAAGATGTACTGTGTGGTTGCCACTCTCAGGTCCCTCTGGACGATCCTAGAGGCAGAAGCGAAAAAAGATATTGGACGAGAGAAGTAAATATGACAGAAATGAAAGACACCAAGGCATCAAGTTATTGGACGGTTAACACTATTGATTTCCATGTCAAAGTCGGTGGGATGATTTGTGATTGACCACCTGAAAGAGTCTAATAATGTGGCAGGAAAGAGAACCCACATGTGACTATAATGGCCCCTACTGTGCATGTTTTATTGGTGTTAACATTAGCTGAGGCTTTCTCAAAGCTAACAGCATTAATCTGCTCTATCCTCCACTAGCGGCCTTCCAAAATGAACTGAGAGGTTGGAGTTTCCCCTTTACAAGTTAATAATTAGTGCATTCTGTATTTGTCAGGTTGCAGATGGGTCACATCTAGAAATTCTCATTTTAGACTCAGTTTTAAAATACATGAATTGTATGAAAAAAAATGTAGAAAAACTGAAAAAGTATTGGTAAGTTCACATACATTTCCTATAACCCTAAAAAAAACACGAAATGCAATGTGTTATTCAAAATACGGGTAAAACACCAGTGACTAAACAATATGGATAAATAACACAGTACTTTGTGCCCTATTTTTATGGACTTGGAGTGTAACATCTACAATGACACTAACACTCCAAAACGTCTTCCTCTTTGGCTGTCCTGAGAGCCCCAATTCTGACAAATCTCAGCTGCAGC